CCCCCCAGATGCTCAGATATTTTGCCAAAATGTGCTAAAACAAAATCACTTAGAGAATATGAGCTAGCTCAGAGATTAATAAAACCTCCAACTTCACAGACTTCCACAAATAATGAGATGAAAACAACAGATAATTTTCAGCCATCAAATATTTCAATACTTCACTCTGTTACTATGACATATTTATCCCATACGAAATATTTGCAAAAGGAGTTGTAATGGCCTTCAGGGACAGGAAGAATAGAGTTTCTGTAGAAAATGTTAAATTAGTTTTGATGGTGATGCAAAGTTAAGGAAGGATTGTTAGGGATGGCTTGGTGCCACAGGGCGGGGTTTTGTTTTGGTGTCCTTTTAGAGCCTGCAGGTGTTTGGCACCAGTTAAAATCAGGGCCAGCTGTGATATTTCAATAATTTTGATATTTCCCTCCCAATAGTTCTCAGAAGTGATGCTTCAGAGTGATGTTTTACACCTGATATATTCAACTTGTGTGGTACAAATGGAAAGACTGTTAAGCAACACCAGTTTTAGGATACCCTTTGCCCTTCTACCCTACTCTCAGGTCATGGCATCAAGGAAAAAAAAACACTAATCAGAAGTTCCAATAATTCATAATTCATATTTTTTAACTTAGCAGTTCAACCAAAGATGATGATACATGAGAATAACTAAATATACAATCTTAAGCAAAATTCTGAAAGCAGGATGGTGTGTTCTCTTTTGATGTTCAGTGTAGATAATGATGCTTTTAAGCCCTTTCAATGGTGACATCCATACCTATTTTTGCAGGAATTTGAATAGTTTCTATTAAAAGCTGCATTTTCTTTTAAGTTTATTTGGGTTGGAAACCCTCAAACCACAATGTATTTCATGCACATGTTCCCAAGGGTATGTTAAATAGGACCATACTGAGGTCATCTAGTAAGTTTTTGAAACTTTTTAAGAATTCCTTTAATGTACTACACAATCTTGGCCTGATTAGAAGAAGATATTTTAAGAAAGTACTTGAAAAAATGACTGGCTATTAAAATCTATGTGCAGATAACCTATATTATGCTCTATAATGCACAGAGCTTTCCATAGATAATTTGTCATTGAGGGAGAAAAACAATAAAACTACCACTTTAAGAATTTTTAGTCAAAACTTGTCAGAAATATCAGTAAATGCAAACAAATGCCCCCATAGTATTTTTGATTGACTTAACCGTGGACAACCGTGACTTCATTTTTACTGTGCAAAGGTCTACAGCACTTTATCATAAGATAAAAGGTAGACAATCTTCCAACTATCCAAGATAAAACATATCATCTCCCATTTCAGTTGAGTAAAAAAATGAAATCTTCTTGGAATATGAACTATGATGAATTTGTTAGGTTAGATATAGTTTCTACCATCAAGCACATTTTTGTTGTCAACCAAGATTTTCAAGCCACAGATGAGAAACATACATGGTCCATTGAATAAAAAGCATGCAAAATTCTCTTCTATTCCTTGAGGTTCCCAATCTTTTCCTTTTTTTTTTTTTCTTTCCCTGGTTGGACATACCCCTTTTCACTTCATCAAAGCTTTCCTTCCTGCGCCATGTTCCAAGCCTTGTACTTCACCAAAAGTAATTTTCAGTCAAATGAGCAGCTGTGCTGGCACAGCGCACATGGAGAGCTGGGCCACTACGCCAGTGGTGCATTCCCACATTGAACACAAGTGGCTAGTTCCCTGTACCCAGGGCCAAGAAACTGCTGCTCATCAGAGCGAAAGCTCCCTTGGACACCTCAAATGGAAATCAAACTTAAAAAAAAAAAAAAAACACTTTTATGGAAAATGAAAAATAAGAGGGTTGTCAGCAATCAGAAATAATGAAGGGTTGGGAACTCTTGGCATATCGTTTGCAGATACATTTTCATAAAAGGATAGTAGATTGCGATTCTAAGTTAATGATCCCCATACTTGTGGCAGCACTGGATGTACCACTGTTCACTAAAACAGGTATTTTTAAAGAAGGTGTTTTAATAAGAATATAATCATCAAGGGCACCATTATAATGAGAGCCACTACCATGCATTGAGCATTTAGCATTTGTCAATTCTTGTACTATTCCCTTAATTAACATCTCATTTAACACTTTCAACATTGGCGAGATAAGATCCTATTATACCATATAACAGTTAAGAAAACTAAAGCCTGCAAAGTTATAAAACTGTCCACCAAATTTGAAAATATGATGTTAACCATCATCTTAACCCAAACCGTTAACAAGCATCAGTCCCCCTGAAATCATCAAGAGCAATTCAACTAGTGCTAAAGATAATGCTCATTAGTGCTAGGGTACATGAACCATCTGATCATTTGGAAAACCTACACTTTCTTTTTTTTTTTTTTAAAGAGAGAGAGAGAGAATTTTTTAATGTTTATTTTTTAGTTTTTGGTGGACACAACATCTTTTTTTTTTTTTTAAAGAGTGAGAGAGGAGAGAGAGAGAAAATTTTTAATATTTATTTTTTAGTTCTTGGCGGACACAACATCTTTGTTGGTATGTGGTGCTGAGGATCGAACCGGGCCGCATGCATGCCAGGCGAGTGCGCTACAGCTTGAGCCACATCCCCAGCCCTGGAAAACCTACACTTTCCACAGTTAACAACTTATTCATTTGTTTATTTACATATACATGAACATTTATTGTATGCATGCTATTGAAGTAAATTTTGAGTTTATTTTTCAGAAAGGCATAGAATACTAAATTCATACTAAATCCTTACTAATTCACCTAGTAAATAAAATAAAAGTTTATTGAATAAATGAAAGAATTTTCTAAATTGTCATTCATAGATGTCACCTTAAGGTGCTTTTGAATAATATACTTCATACAAGGTTTTTTTGATTTTTTCACATTATACAATGCAAAATATTATAGAAGTCTTTTTGAAAAGGGACAAACAGTTCTAAGCATAAGGAAAAGGTGATAACCCTGATTCTCGTGCAAAACATAACTAGAATACTTACAATTTCCAGAGTAATCTTGGCTTATTTAAAAAATGTAATAATAGTACATTACTCTCTAGTCTTTCTAAAAATCCAATAAATTACAGACATATATTTTTGTACTTAAAATTACAAATGAAGAGTGAAATTATATATAAAAGAGAACCCTTACTACTGGTTTCCAATTATCAATAAACATCATGGTATGGTTAAGTATTTTTTACTTTAGAACTGTAATAATTAGGATCCACTTTTTGATGGGGTTAAGAGGTCAGTTTAGAAATTTTGAGGGGTAACGTGGAAATCTGGTATCTTGATTTACATAATATCAAACTTCTCCATTTGGTAAGTAGGCTAAGTACTAAAAATATGACACCATGACATAGACCAAAAATAAATACTTTGCAGGTCCAAAGCAGTTGAGATACAAAGATAACAAATTAATTAAATTTCCCTTGTATTAATTAAGCTGAATTAAAAGGGGAAAACAGATATAAAAATTCTATTTAGCCTATATCCACTCTGAACCAGCCCATAATTTAAAAAAATTTAAAAATAATAAGACTTTGTATCTTTGTATATCATAACCTTAAAAAAACCCAGATAATTATAATATACCTACTGATATTTAAGAATAACTCTTTGATTTTCTTTGTTTATCTCTGATAAAACACAGATGAAACAACAGAAATGCTGATGGGAAAACTTTCAGGAAATATCTCTTGTGAAATATGACCTCAAATTGAGACAAATACGAAGTCCTACACACCTCTAAAATACCACAGCTTAAAATGAGAAGGCTGATTCTCAGTTTTGAATTAAAGAAACCAGGTACTTGGCCTATATTCAGGTGTGGAGATCAAGGAATCACCAGATATTAATCCACTGAATTTTGGGCTTCCTTTCAGATGAATTTACACAGTATATACCAAGTGGGCCTCTTATCTCCAATACATATTGACCATTGTTTTATTGTGAATAAAATTCTTCACTGGGGCAAAAAAAAATAGCATTTCTGAATTCTCTAGCCTTTCTTCTCCAGTAAATATTGTAATTTTTACTGAATTAAATACACTCTAATTTCCTTTTAAGCAGACATTTATGCAAGAAAAATGTAACAATGTTAAAGAGTTCAGTTTCCCAACAAAGATCTTCTTCCTCAGAAAATGGATATTTCATTTTCAGTAATTCATTTCAAACAAAAATCTGCTACTATATGAAGTACCAACAGAAAAAAATTCCTACGATTTTGAAATGTTGGAAACTGACAAGATATGTGAAACATCATAATAAAATATTCACAGAAAAATGGAGGTCCTCTACATTTTAGGGTTAATATGTGAATTTAAGACATGGTACATTGCTTATAGTTCTATTGGTTAAGTAGCAGTAAGCATATGGGAAAGGCGATACCCTGATTCACCTTTAGATATTTTTGACATCTAAAAATAATCCACTTGAACAATGTTATAAAAAATATTTTTGGGTGGTGACCCTTCTTCCTGTGCCCCAAGAAGAACCTATTAAGCAATGTATAGAGCAAAATTTTATTAAAGTATAAATCTTGCCCCACAAAAAAGACATATTAATCAAAACATACAAAAGCTTCTAATTTGCAAAACTAAATATGCTTTGTATATTTTAAGACAGCTATGTGGTGATTAGAAGTAGGCTATAACTGTAAAATTTCTCATATTTCTTTCTACAAAAAAAATCTCTGAAATCCTGATTCCAACTTTTCAATTGTCTATATTTCTAATTTTCAGAAAAAAGTAAAAGCTTTCACCTTGAAAATTTTATGGAGTGGCTGATAATGAAATATGTTAGACCCAATAGACACAAGTATGATTGTAGACAGCCAGTTCTACAATCATACTTTTTATTTTTATTTTATCCCAAAACCACAAACAATTTGAACATAACACTGAAACATCATATTATGTGACTTAAGATCAACGACTAATGTACCTTTTGATATCAATCTGGATAGGAAAGAGAAGCAACCAAGGACTTCAAAAAACAAACCTGAGGTTCTGTAAATACACCCTTCATATTGTTGATTGGGCCATATGGGACCCCGCTGCCTTCAAAGAGACATAACCACTTAGTGGTCATTTCTTCTTCAAACCTAGGAACAAAGAAAAGATGCATTTTTTTTTTTTTTTTTTACAATCTACAGAATACAACACAACTTCTTTCCTCATATGGTTCTCTTTCACAGTAACCGATAGTGACAAGTATGTGTTGCTTAGGCTTTCTTGAAGCCAAGTTTTGAGAGAAAATTGTCTATATGAAATGACTTGAGTGGCCACCCAGATCCCAGGGTTTGAAAATACTCCATTAGATATGTAATTTCTCTTAATTTTATCCCTGTGTATTTTCTGACAGAGTCCATTGGAAAAGAAAGATTGTAAGGAAGACAGTATTGAATTCCAAATGTGATGTTGACAGAATGGCAGCTATTATGAAGACAAACAACAATAAGTGTTGGTGAGGATGTGGGGAAAAAGGTACACTCATACATTGCTGATGGGACTGCTCTTTTTTTTTTTTTTTTTAGGTCTCATGTATAGTATACCAGGGTAGAGAGATGTTGATAAACAAAAGTATGCTTTAAAACAAAAAATAAACAAGTATAGTTATTTTAAAAGAAAGCTATGTTTAAGGTACATAAGAATTAAAAGTAATAATCATTGGCCTAAAAATAGTCTTAACTATTAGTTTATTTGAACTGTGACTTGTGAATTAAAACTACAGACATGCAAAGATTTGTGTTTCAGGTAAAGCCAACAAAACTCAAATTATCCACGTTCTTTATCTCTTTTTAAATTCTATAATTTAAAAATGAACCTCACAGACAGGAAAATACATATATATTTCTTCATTTTCTCTATTAGGTCTTAAGAAAAGGGGAGCTAATCTATTAATGAGATTTGGTGGTTTTTTTTTTACCTCTTTTCTGTTAGGGCCATAAACACAGAAGGAAAATCTTGGATCCTTAGGGACAACAAAACACAATCATAATTTCTAATGTATAAGGAATTTCAGAATTGCTCATTGTTAAAATATCAAACCACTTATATGTAATTAATAAACTTGGCAACTAAAGAATTTTTTTAAAATACTAGATAAGGTGGATTATTGCCAACAAGTAAAATACTCCCCCAAAATGAAAAGACCAGCAGAACTATGGCTAAAATATTTCATATGCATGGAATTCTGTTTCTCTTGTACATAGCCAGAATTGGCCTCAGATTGGCAGACTCCACAGGAAATTAGAAAAAGATACTTTTTTCATCTTTTAAAAAAATGTGCAAAAACAGTATCAGTATTTGGAGGACACTTCTGTGATCACCATTACTGATAGATAAATAATAGATAATTTTTTAAAAAAACCAAGAACTAAAAGGAAAAATAAAATTAATATATTCTCTAAGACTACTCTATGCACAATGATGTTTGATCAACAATTTTTACAAAAGAACATAACAAAAAGTTTTTAATGAAGATAGTATTATATTTCACTAGGAATTAATTCATCTTATCCACATATTTAGATAATGAGTAACTTCTGTATACATCAAGCATTGATTCTTGCCTTTTTGTACAATGCCTTCCCTTTTCTCTCCAATTACAATGACTAAAGAATTTTCATTATATGTTTTAATTTCAGCCCAATAATGTTAACTCTTTGGTATAAATGAAATACTTCATTTCTAAATATTTTTAAAAAATTATTTCATAGAAACATCATGGCTCAGGTTAAGTGTCTTGTTTCTAATCAATTCTTCACATTAGTATTTCTTTCAAGAATTGTTAAAATCATCTCCTAGGCCAAGAATTCCTAAAATATATAGAGAGACATATCATCAGAAAGATATATGCTAAAAGAATAAAAGAGTTACTTTAAACCTGGAGCCTTTTCAATCAGGGTTTCAATTTTTTTTTTCATAAATGGAGTGTTATAATGGTTAGTCTGATAAATTTTCAAGACAAGTAAATTAATCACCACTGGACTTACCCAAGTGGCCTGAAAGATCTGCAGAGAAAATGCATGTCAATATCCAAACAGACCCATGGCTGCAGGCTAGCCAAAAGAAAACTCCAGGGAATAGCTGAAGTTCTAGTATTTATATAAGCTTTTCACCACTGGGCAAAAGAGAGGGATTTATTTCATGTTATGGAAAACAACGGATGCACTTTGGAAATGAGACTTAGGGAAGAGACAGTCTGAATCTGCAGTTGTGACCACTGTTTGCATCTCTGTGTGGGTGTGGGTGTGGAAAGGTTCTTTAATGCCATAAACTCAATCAATCAGAGACAGAACATGCTGCATTCCGCTGTTCCCAGAGGACAGATCCGTCATTTTCTTCTGAAAATCTATCTCTGATCTAAATCTGATGTGGAATCCTTTCCTTTATCTATGCAAAAAAAGCTGTAAGCACATGTTTTTATTAACCACAAAAATTCTGCCGGGGGTTTGAGGGGAGATGATCCAAGCCACTCAAAGCAATAGACTCCTGCAGATAAAGACAGAAAGGGTGTCCTTAGATTCAGCTCAGCAAGCCTCAAAGGAAGGGCCTCTTTTAGGAAGTTATGTGGAGCTTCATAATCCAGACTTAATTGTGAACTTATTAAATCAACCCACATATACAATTCTTGAATTTTGTTGAATTTGCTTAATGCCAGGAATGGGTATTATTAACCAGACAGCATCATTTAGGTATATGAAGTACTGCTGAATAAAGATACACTGGAGTTTATACTTCCTAATTTCATAATTTAATTTTTTATTAGAGCATTATAGTTATATATTGTAATTGGATTCATCCCAACAAACTCATAAATGCATGGAAATCAATTCCAGTTCATGATCTCCCATTTTCCCTCTTGTCTTCCCTCTCCTCTCCCATTCTCCTTCCTCGACTCTACTAGACTTCCTTTTACTAGTCTTTAATTTGTATTTGACTGGTTCTTTATATTATCCTATCCTTTCCTCCCCCTTCCCTTTATTTTACTCTAGCTTCAGCATATGATAGAAAACACAGAATTTAACTTTAAAAAACAAACACAAACCATCTCTTTAGAAAATGGATTAAGTATCAAAGAAGTCAAATCTAAGAACAAAGAGAAACTACTAGTAAGAAAATGTTATCCTCTTTTGACCAATAGGAAACTCAGGTTCAGAAAAATTAACTTGCTCAAATTCATAGAGATTTTTAAGGTCAGAGGTTGCATCTGAAGTGGAAACTGTTGAACTCCAAAGTCACTTTCTAGTACAAAATGATTGTAGCAGAATACATGAAGATGCATAGCTTCACACATCACATGCATTATAAATGATCACAGATTTTTTTAAAAGGAATAGCATAGGTGAAAACTTTCCTTTTTTCCACTAATTTCCTTCTTTATTTACATCTTATATGGCTCAATATATATTCCTTTACATTAATATTTACTCAATCCTTATGATTTTAGTAGAAATTTGTTTTGTGTCAGCTGTGAAGATCAAAACAATAAAAAGGTAGTTCCTGTGTTCAGAGATTATATAGTCTAATAGAGAACACAGCTATGGAAATGGATGAATTACAATTCAGGATGCTAAGACAAAGATATGAAAGAACAACTTACAGTTGAAGCATCAAAGAGGGAAACTTGCACTGGGCCTGGGAAGGCAGGAAAAAGTCCAATAACAAGGTAAAATTTGAGCCAAGTGTTGAAGGACAAGCTAGAATTTTTCATGTGAAAGATGGGAGGGAGGATTTCCAGGGAGAGAGAGCAATGTGTACGAAGATCCAACCTGGAAAGAATCTGAAATCTCCTGTGTCATGAGTGGGAGAAGATGAAATAAGAGAGGAAGGTTAGAATCAGAGTGTAAAGCATCTTGTCTCCTATGCTAGGGATATTGAATTTCCACTGGGAATGAGGTCTTTAAGCAGGGGACTGACATACTAGGCACTGATACAGAGAACAGACCTATGCCAATGAAACTAGAGATAAGGAAACTTCATAGTAAAAACATATGCATTTCAAATCTATCAATTCTTCCATATTATTGTCAGTAATAAATAAGTCCCACTTGAAAAAGGTTTTTTGTTTGTTTGTTTGTTTGTTTATTTATCTGACCCTCTAAAATCTGGCTTGGTGGTCAATGCTCTTTTTTTATCCAGTCTTCAATGGTCTCCAGTGATCACTTGTCAAATCTAATATTCCTTTCTGAGTCTTTGTCCTTCTTTCCTACATACTATTTGATGCTTCTGACTATCCTAAATTTAGGTCTAGTGACACTCACTACACTTAAGTTTTCTTTCATATCTCTTTGATGATTTCTATTTCTTATATTCTTTTGCCAATCCCAAGATTCCTTATTCTCTTTTACTCACTGCTATGATTTGGATAAGTATCCCCCAAAAGCCTAGGTGTTGAAAATGTGCTTACCAACCTGTGGCACAACTGGGAGTTGTTAGAACTTTAAAGAGGTGAGGCCCAGTGGGAGAAATTTAGGTCTTGAGGGGTATGGCCTTCCTTGAGAGAGACTCTCTCTCTGATGCTTGGCCATTGTGAGCAGCTTCCTTCACCACACTTCTGTCAAGATATACTGCATTCCCATAGGCCCAAAAGCAACAGTGCCAACTGACTATAGATTGGAACCTCTGAAACCATGAGCTGGAATATCCCAGGTATTTTGTCATAGTAATGCAAAGCTGAGTAACACACTCAATTAAATTATCCTGAGATCCTTGTGCAGAAAAACCCCAAAGTCCATGTTTTAGCCTTGGCTTTTTTTTCCCCAATTCCCTTTTTTTAGTACATAGGGTAATTCCACCCTGATGCACTATTACCACCAGTAATATACCATGGCCCTGGTGACTTTATAATTTCCATTTCATCACAAACCTAGAATTTGTCCCTTGCCTAAACTCTTATCTTTGACTTTATCTGGAACTCCTTCCTTCCCATCATTTCTTATGACATATATAATCATCCTGTGGGATCAACTTTTCAATGGTTAAGCAGTATTCCTCCATTCCCTTAGTAACTATCACACTTATGGACTCTGGTGCTTCACACTTAGATAGAGGTAAGGACTAGTTTAAAACTTATTGTCTCCAATCTCCCTCCTTCAAA